TGAATAACGGATGAAGAGCAGTGTAGGGTTGAGGACTTATAGGTTAAGGCTCTGACGGTGGCTCGAAGCAGTAGGACGAGGCCCTCAATGACGGCGAAGGTGAAGAATGGGCTTACGGGGAGGCTCCAATCTCAGTAGAATGAGTGAGAGACGAGAGCTCTGGTTCGCAGGGTTGCTTGAGAACTGAAGATGAACAGAAGAGGAAGGGATATGAAGAGAAGAACGACGAATATAAGAGGAGAAGAGAGACGCCAAAGTTTGAATCTAAAGAGACAGCGTGAGGCGGCTGGGTTGGCTGGTCGTGGCCAATGAATGAGCGATACACGTCTGTAACGACAGCGGCGCCAGTATTGAAAGGACAGGTTGGTAAGTCGAGGCGCCGACCGAGCAAGTCACAAGACCGAGCGTGGGACTTAGCACAGTGAATGTCTTGCAATATAAGGTCGAGCAGATGAATGACCCCAGCCGGAGCATGTAATCCCGATCACTCTAGCACGGACGGAATTAAGGGGCAATTGAGATGGAGATTTCATAATCTGGCTTTGGGCCGTGGTAATGGCCGGGAAAATTAGACCAGGCAAGTTTGGGCCGAGCTGGGTTGGGCTAATTCGGTGGTAGTGCACTCGGTCAAGGCCTAAGTCCAATTTGGCCGGGGTAATTTCGGACTACGGGCCCAGTTCATTTTATTTGCTCGTTGAGTTAGGTGGGTCAAATCCTCCACAGACCAATCCAACCAAGCAGGAGCTCGGTCATAGTTGAGGGCGGCTAAGCCACAGTGGAAGTAATGAATGTCATAACGGATGGCGGCCGAGCTCAGTCATAACAGAGCACGGTTCAGAGCATTGCATATCTCGGAAGTAGTGCGGTCGTAGGAAGAGGGGGGCGACGCCAGGCTGTCCGTTCGCGCCAACGCCGTTTGGCCATTTGGTTAGGTGGTGTTTTAGCTATATTTACGCTGACACGTGGGAAAGTGGGATAGGATAGCAGGTCCACGCGTCGCCAGGCGAATGGACGCAGAGGCACGTACAGAGGCACACGCAGAAAGTATATAAGCGTGACTATGCCCCCATACTGAGGTGTGGAACATTTTCTAGTGAGAGAAAAACTAACACATTGTCTTCCCTCTCTTCTCTCTCTTTCTCTAAGTGTGTGCTGACTTAATCGTTGGAGGGGTTTTTCAGCAACAACCCGCCGGGTAGTCCACCTTCGTTGTGTTCTCAAGTTGATCGGAGGAAGGCGCAGCTTGGACAAGAGGAGTACGGATAACGTCGGATATTTGGCGACCTATACACTTACAATCGGAGATGAAATTGTTAAGTTGATGAAAGTCATTTATCCCACCAAGATGACGAGTTTAACACATTCTGCATTAGTTTCTATTTCAAAATTAACAAGGTTCCACTCTATTGTAAGATTTAGGCTCAAGGCCCATAACTCTACCTCAATATTAGGAAAAAAAAAAAAAAAAAAAAACCAAAATATTTCTACAAAACCCATCGCCCAATGCCCTGATTGATCTTTGATAATGCCACCTGCATAGGTTAAACCAAACCAACCTCTTTTGAGAGCTAGCCAGCCCACAAAAACACAAGATCTAGAATACTTATTCGTTCATCTATATGGGCATGGGTTCAATTACATTTTGTGAGTTTATGATTTAAGCCCATAGGTTGTGTTGGGCAATCTTTTTAGGCCTAATTATACTTGGGGCTGAGTTTGAAAAGAGTGCTTCAAGTCCAATTTGGCCTTGTCAGGTCTGCTCACAAACTATATATTAGACAATGAAAAATGCTTAAAATATTTAATTTATTATTTTTAAAAATCACCTTTGACGATATGTCTGATAAATATTAAATTTGTATTTGTCAAACATTTCATCATGTATGGTCTAATCTCAATACCATGTTATTATAGATAATGAAGAGTGATAAATTAATAGAATGTAGCATTATTGATTATATAATATATATTTATATATATGTTTTACATTATTTAACTTTATTTTTTATTGGCATAAATTATGTATTAATGATTATGTAGAAAATTAATTATAAAATTTAAACTACTAGTCTTGAATAGGTTAAAAAGACACTCAAATAATTAAATTAATTATGCATTTTATTTTAAAATATAAAAAAAATAAAATTGTTTACATTAAGTAATATCTATAGATGGAATTGAGATTTTCTTTAAATTTTTTTTTTTTTGGACGGACTTGAAAATAAAGTACAGGCCTAATCTCGGACAGACCTAAGGCTCCGTTTGGCAAGGGCTTTTGTGGCTATTTTAGCCACAAAACATAAAATATGTTATTTTAGTCACAACAAACAAAACATCACATCCAACTCATAATTATTACACTCTTCTCTCACAAAAAAAGCCAAAAAAAATAAAAAAGTCAAAAAGCCATTCCCAAACCAAGCTTTTTAACTCAGGCTAAAATAGTCAAAAAAGTCAAAAAGCTAAAGAGCCAACCCACTTCCCAAACCAACCCTAAGGCCTCGTTTGGGAACAGGTTAATTTAGTAACTTTTTGGCTATTTGGCTAAAATATGAGCTAAAAAAAATTAGTATATTTGGGATGACTTATTGACTTTTTACGAAAAGATGTGCAAAAAGTAGAGAGAAAAAAGAATCTTGTTTGGTTTGTATTTGAGAAACATGTTTTGAGATAAAAAGTACGAAAATTTGTTTGGTTTGGTTTTTTTTCAAAAGATGTTTTGAAAAATTATTTTGAGAGAGTTTTGGAAAAAGTGTTGATTTGATGTGTATGAGAGAGCGATTTGTTTGGAAAATTTGTAAACCAAACAAGTTTTGAAAAAAATTTGGGAAAAATTTGTTTGGTTTGATTACTTTTGAAAACTTATTTGTAGAGATTTTTTTCCAAAATTTTTTGAGAAACACAAACCAAACAAGGCCTTTGACTTTTTTGTATGAATTGTTAACTTTTTGACTAAAATGGAGGGTTCTTAAACGAAGCATAAGTTTGGAAAATGACTTCAAATGTTATTGTTTAGTATGAAACCGACCCATATCCGTCCTATATCCATCCCTACCAATCCAACTTAAGAAATAAGTATGTTATTTCATCATGAAAACATCATAAATTAGTCTTTCCTAAGTTTAACTACCACCACAACCATCCCTTTCAACCACCATATTATCATTGTCACAAAATAACTACTATCATCGCTATCTATTACTGCCACCACAAGTTGCAGTGACTTTTTAACTATATTAATTACTCTCTAAACAGTCGCTAAATTAAAGTGATTATTTTTTTATATCATGGATGACTCATGCTATTTTATTGTCTCATTTAATGATAGGTTCATGAATTACATTGTTACAAAAACAAAAATTTAAACTAAATTTCAATTTATAATTAAATGGAAATAGTTTATTGATTTTAAATTTCTCACTCTTTAAAGGTATTACCAAACTACTAATTCCACTTTTTACATGAAAATAATTTGATGTTGTGTAAAAGACAATCGGCAAACTAAAATAAGATTATCAAAATTATAAAAAATGTTAAAATTTTTAAAAATTTTACAAAAAATTCTACCAAATATTTTACATAAATGTGAGATTTACATGAGACTCACATCGTGTAGATTCCACACAAATGTAAGACACTTGATAAAATTTTTAGTCAAATTTTTAGGATATCTAAACATTACTCTAAAAATTATATAATAAACTCCTAAAATATCAATATTGCACAATACAGTAAATGATGAATTCAATGAGTTAGATACTCCTAAATGCCTATTGTTGTAAAAAAGGTAAGTCAAATAAAGTAATAAGTTTTTATTGTATAGCATGACTCATAGAAACGTTACACAATTCGGTAAAATAATAAATTAAATGAATAACAATGATAATCCTAAATGCATATTGTTCTTAAATTTTTTTTTGAGTCAAACTGGGTAATAACTTGTTTAAATTTGACTCAAAAACTTAAAAAAATCAAAATGTATTTAAGGTTAGGTTTTTTATTTTCTAAACCGATGTCAAATAAATTTTAATCAAAACTGAACTCATCAAGTAGCTTGACTTTTTTTATCGTGTTTGAATCAAATTCGAGTCAAACTTAGAAAATTAACGAATTTAAAATATATTCAAGCTTATAATTTGTTCATATAACAATTAATTTTAAACAAAATTTTAATAAACAAAATACTATTCGAGTTCAAATAGTTTAATTCGTTACAATACACCGTCACTCCCAAAAAATGAGTAAGAAAAAAAAAGAAGCAAAATCCTGGAAATAACACAATTTTAAGAAACCAAAATCAAATTGTGAGAATCCATACAGTTGCCTCCTAAGAGTAATTGCATATCACAAATTGAATAGTTCTTATAAAAAAAAAAAAAAAAAACTATAAATAAGACTGATATTCCCTAACACTTAAAAGAAATATAACAAATTTTATAATTTTGACATAATTATATTGAATTTCTTTAAGATTTTAATTTTTACCTCATTTTTAATCAATATATTGTTAGTTAAATATAATAAAATGTATAATTTTCCTTCTTTTTCTTTGTATTTCACACTATTTGCATTAGTTTTGATTTATTTAGATTTATTAAAAGTAGAAGTCAATGTTATTTACTTTAAATAATAAAAACTGAAAAAAGGATAGATTACAAATTCAACCCTGACAATCATAAATACTTCATTATTATAATTTGTCATCTAAAAATTAATAAAAAAATAAAATTTTAAATTAATTTATTATATAACAATAAAATTCTTAGAACGATTAATTGAAATATATTTATTATGTAATTGAAAACTATTAGTTGATTTTATGTAGATTAATAAAAAAACAATTTATTATATTATTAGAAATTTGAAGGGAATGGTAACGGAAGGTAATTAATATTTTAAGTAAATTTAGAAATTATATTTGTAATTAAGGAAGAAAAAAAAAAAGCAAAAAGGGTAAGTGAATATGTGAAGACAATTAACTGATGATGACCAAGCGTACACACACGCGCATTACGCTCGTCAAGTTCGAAAAGAGAGAGATGGACATGAAGGAGGGAAAAGCATAGCGACGAAGAAGAGCTTTGGCTTGAACCCTAGCGAGAGCGAGAGGAGAGAGAAAGGGTTGGGGTGTATTGAATGTACAGCCACAACGATGGCTTCGCTGGTTCTGTTTGCAATTGAGTGTGAATGGGGTTGCCTGTTTTGGAATGCAATTATGGTTTCGATTCCTCTTTGGCAGTTCCAAACCATCGAGATTATAAGAATCCCTACCCACCCAAGACAATATCTTCGCTGCGTTAGAGAGAGAGAGAAGCACACAAACACAGAGAGAGAGAGAGAGAGAGAGAGTGAGGCAGAGAGAACTCCAACTCCAGGACCAGAGCTCTTTGTGAATTCTTCTTGCTTCCATTATATTCTTTCTGGTATAATCTCTCATACCCATATGTTTTATCTTTATTTTTTGTGAAGCTTTCGGATTATTAATCTAGTTTTCGTACTTAAGTTTTTGTTTCAGTGATCCTTTTCAATTCCTTGGATTTTTAACCCATTTGTTTTAATTGACAACTTGATCTGTCATTGTTTATTCAGTGTTTTTTTTTTTGTTGTTAATCTGTGATTTTTCATTTTCAATCAATCTATTTAAATCTGACCCTTTTTGGGTTTCTATTTTTTGCTTCTTGATGATTTGGACGTTGAGGTGTTGGCATCTAACAGTGTTATTGGCATTAATTGTGGATGATTTCTTTCTATCTCTAATGGAGAAGTAATTTTGTGATCTTACAATTTTTTTTCTTAGCATTTTTCTTGATGATCAACCATTATCTGTGGGCATTCTTATATCCAAAATCTGTAAAATATTTATAAAAAAGAAAGGAAAAAAAAAAAAAAAAATCTTTCTCGCCTCCCTCCTGTCCCTCCTAATCACTGCAAACTTGTGTCATGTGCAGACTCCTTGCTTACTTGACTCTAATCTTCTTCTTTATATATATATTCATTTAAACATGTATCAATCTTCAAGCCTATTAATTGAAAATCACACATATACACTCGATTTGATGATTTAGTGTTTGTGAACCCACACAGTCTTGTGTTCATTGATGTGTGTGCTGTAGGGCTGCAGTTTTTGAACTCCTAAGGGGTTTGAGGTGATCTTGTGATCTAAAAATTCCGAAGGCACCCCAATACCTTTCCGTTTCAAAGATATTAATGTTTGGGTGAGTGACACAAAGCATTCTACAATATTTTTTGTTTAGGAGGGTTCTGACACCAATTTTCTGGCGAGGCGATTTTATTTGATTAATTCTTGTAAACTTTCTTATTGTTTTCCCCATATAGTTTTATTTGTGAAATCATTTAGTTTCAGGAATGTATCAATCTTCAAGTTTGGAAGTCCAAAGATTGATGATCCAAACATTTATGTCTTTGTGACTCTTTTATCATCTTAATTACCATTTATGCATGCATAGATTTAGATCTTTATCCTAATGTGTAGTTCTTTGCCTCCAAACTTTCTCTCTGTCAGTGGGTCTGAGTTTTGTGGGTATTTTTCAAAACCTCTGTCTTTCTGTCTATTGTCAATGAATCTGAGTTTTAAGGGTTCTTTTCACATATGTAAGCATTTATTCATGTAGCCCTTTAGCTATTGTGTAGCATTTGCTTATTTTTTAGAATTTATTTTTCTCAGTATGGAGTGTGGGGGTGAGGTTGGGGGATTGGCTTTCTTGCAACTTCTCATAACTTCCTTCTCTTCTGGTTAATCTTATGAACCTTTGAATGCATAATTGAATCAACTCCCTTATATGAATATGCTATGGAGCACCGACACTTCAAATTGGGTTTTGTGTTTGTGTTATATATGTATGGGACACCGACACTTCGAGGGCACGCTTATCCACGTGTTGGAACTCCATGTGGCATGTAAAATTTTTAAATGATGCATGATGTTCGTCGTTAATATATTCTTGGTAACTAAAAGATTTTTTTGGAAACTCATAGTTGATTAATATACTTGGTATATATTTTGATAAGTAAATATTATTATTCTTGCACATTGCTAACCATGCTACAATATACTGAAGAAAATTGCTATAGATCCATTACTAATTCTGGTGGTTTGATTTAAATTGCAGCAGGAACATTAATTAGCCTTTATGGAACACAGAAGCCACTCCTCTAATTCCCTGAACCTGGAAGAAAATATGGGAACCTTTCAGAGAAACACTTGTCAGAGAACTGATCCAGGAGCTGAGCAAAGCATTCTGTTCTCAAGTGTCTCGTCCTCTTCAAATGTTGGTGCTAGCACTTCCGAGTTGGGGATTACAAGCCAAAATGTAATGGCTTCAAGCGCCTTCCCCATAAACTACCATTCTTGGAATGGCTTTTCTGGTGGCGTTCATCTATCTTCTACTCCTGGGTTTCCCCTGAGGAATCTAGTTGAAGAATATGAAGAGAGGCTGTCAAATTTTCTTGAGCCGATCATTCTAAGGCCTGTAGATTCGATGATGAGAGAAGAACATAATGCTGCCGTCCCTTCAATTGTGGCTGCATTGGAGCAATTCAGTGCTGATCGGCGGAGCGCTCTACAGGTACTTGAAATTTACTTATTCCCTTCGTATGGATGATGTTGTTGCTATGTTGTTTGCACTTTTGTTGATGCATCTCATAAACCATGATTTTTGTTTTAGTTCTTTCATTTCTCTTATTGAATTTTTTATGGGATTATTACAATTAAAGCCAAAATTAATAAATTATTTATCAAGAAGTCTACTTAATGAAAATATTTTGTTTTGAAGTCATGTATAGAAAATTGTTTGTAGATAGTAAAAAAAAATATTAGTAAAAAAGTCTTTTTTGTCCATATCCTTAGTTTCTAGGGCAATGTTGCAACTCTCTTCCCCTCTCAGAGTCTCAACCCCCTCCCTTCTTGCTGATTTAGTCACTCCATCATATCACCTATTCAAGGAACTGTATTTACTAAAGATGGATTTTGATGAAAGTTTTCAGACCTTTATAAGTCAGACCCTCTTATTTTGGAACCTCAATAGCTAGTATTTTTGTTTATAATGTATTGCTTTTCCCTTATAACAATTTTCACCAGCTCTAAATATCTTTGTTTTTCCTTAAGCAGGTTGCCTTTGAACTCCTACAAGTGGCTAATGGAGCCACCTGGCAGTACGAGGTTTGATCTTTGGCTAGGTTTATTTTATGGGAAAATTTATAATGTGCACCTTTTCAAATGGTGCATATTGTAAAAAAGTTATGATGTTTTATGATAAATGTTATGATTGTCTATGATATGTGTTATGACATTTTGTAGTAAAGTTATGAATAACGAATTTATGATGTGCATCCTAAAATTAGGGATGATAATGTTATGACATTTTGTGATTTTTGTTATGACACTTTAGGATTTTGTTATGACATTTTTCAATGAAAAAAAGTTAAAACTTTTGTAGTTAAAAAGTTATGACATTTTGTGTTTAAGTTATGAAATTTTGTAAAAAAATTATGAAAGACATACCATATGCACATTTTTTAGGGTGCACATTATAACATCTCCCTTATTTTACACTTCGATTATCAGGCTTGCGCTTGCTTTGGGAAATGGATATAAACTTGATGATGTTTTCATGTCATGTTTTCTAAATATAAAAATAATATTTTGTGCTATACACAGGAACAACTATTTTTTTTAAACATTGTTCAATACCATTGTATATTATGATTATTAAAGTGTACACAATGACATATCATATGCACATTTTTTAGGGTGCACATTATAACATCTCCCTTATTTTACACTTCGATTATCAGGCTTGCGCTTGCTTTGGGAAATGGATATAAACTTGATGATGTTTTCATGTCATGTTTTCTAAATATAAAAATAATATTTTGTGCTATACACTGGAACAACTATTTTTTTTAAACATTGTTCAATACCATTGTATATTATGACTATTGAAGTGTACACAATAATGTTTCTTGCATAATTGGATTTCATAAATGTATAATATGGCTTGTTAGGATGGTATGATTGTTGGCCCATTTTTTGATGAGCCTGATATGCATGAAGATATGCGTCTCGAGCTGGACAACATGTCTTATGAGGTATCAATTCAGAAATTGAAATAAATGTTTATCTGGCCTTTTTGGCTTTTGTTTTTTTTTTTTTCATTATAGTAAAAATTTCTTCATATATGTTGGACTTGGGTTTAGGAATTGTTGGCCTTGGAAGAACGTATGGGAAATGTGAAATCTGGACTGAGCGTGGACTCTATTTTGGGGGGTGTGAAGCAGCATAGGTATCAGTCAATGAAATTAGGAGTTCCAGTGGAGGAGGAACCGTGCTGTATTTGTCAGGTAAATAGCATTAAAGTTCTTCACCTTTGGGCTTCTATTTTTCTTAAGTTTCAAGCTTCCTACTAAACTATATGTTTCCATTTGTTGAATCGGATTGCAGGAAGAATATGACGACGGAGAAAAGCTCGGAAAGCTGGATTGTGGCCATGAGTTTCACTTTGATTGCATCAAACAGTGGCTCATGCAGAAGAACTCATGTCCCATCTGCAAAAGGACTGCACTAGCTATTTGAGAGAGATCGTTGGTTTTAGGATACTCAAAGCATATGTCATTTGCTAATTTGTTGGAATTTTTATTTTTTTTTTAATTTTTAATTTTTATTTCCTTCTGTGCTGGCGGGTTGAGCCAACACCTTCAGCTATACCACAACACCTTTAGCTATACCAGTCCAAGCCTATTCGGCTTAGCCTAGCTCACCTGGGTTACTAGATTGGGTTGGGTAAATGGCAAGTGAGCTTAGGCTAACCCGCAGGCATTCGGGCCAAAATGACGAGAATAGGATAAGTTTAATCATAATAAAATTTCCAGTTTTTGTTTGTTTGTTTATTTGTTTGTTTCAGTCAAAGATTACCATGATATTAATGAGTTTGGGCTATTGGTTTAAATATTTAAATCTACTTTATCCTTGCATCTCTGGGTTTGTTTGGGTTTTTTTAATTCTTTGTAACTTTTTTTATTTTTTATTTTTTATGTTAATTTTTTAGAATAAAGTTATTACTCAAAAAAAAAAAAAAAATGGATACCCTTGGCAAATATTAAAAAAATGGAAAATTTTCTACTAATATTTTTAGGTAATATGATATCTTTTTTTGAATTTGTTTTTATAAAAAAATACTTTATTGATCTGTGGAGGGTCTAAATTCTTTTTACAAATTATGTGTATTTTTTTAACGCTTGTCAAATAGAAAAGAATCTTGTTAAAATTATTATTTTTTTCTATAATTTGTTAGTTAATTAAGCTGAAACCAGATGGACAAAAATATCTTTTTTCTACTCGCCGAAGCTTTTTGAATTTTATTTTTATTTTTATAAACAAGATTCAGTGATGATGAAAAAGAAAAAAAAAAAAACAAAAAAAGAAGGTAAACTTGAAACACATATACTGTATGAGTGAGTGTACACTAAGATAGCGTTATTGTGTAATTAAAGAGTAGTTCAAAAAGCCAACTTTAATACACATTTTAGTTGTTATTTCTATTGTTAGTTTTTGGATTTTTTTTTAATGATGCCTATTATAATATATTTATTATTTTGAAAATAAAATGTAACATTGCTCTTTGCAGTTCAAACGAAATATCACTTTAATTGAACTAGCAATTTATATTAACAAGGTAAATATAAAATTTAACAGTTTAATTGTCATGTATATTTTAAAGAACACAACGGTATAAACAAGACAAAAGTAAATTTGAAGTTAAACAGTTCATTAATTATATGTTTTAAACTAAATTAACGGTATAAACTATCACAATGTTGTATAAAATAAATTTAAAGTTTACGTATGATAAATTCGACAAACTTAGTAATGACATGAACATGATGGCTTTAATTTATACATTTTAACTAAATTAACGATATAAACAATTATATCATTAATAAAAATAAATTAAAAGTTCAATTATGACAATATGGATAAATCTAACAATGATATGAATGATGGCAAAATGAATTACCAATGTCATATTCACAAAAAAAACTAAAATAACGATATTAACCGTCGATGTGGAAAAACAAACTAAAACACACAAAACAACAAAATATCTTCTTATCCTCTGAAAAAAAACCCAAAATATCTTCTTCAAAATCTTAAATAATTGGCAAACTAAAATAATATTATAAAAATTATATCATAAACTACTCAAATAGCATTATTGCACACTACAATTATATGAATTATTATCAGCTGAATGTGGTAATCAAATACAGAATGTGATACAAATATCTTATAAGAAATAAGTCTTATATGTGGATCCTAGTGTGCACATAGACTTATTGGAGTTACAATAACAATATTGCTTAATATAATAAATGATAAATTAAATGAGTTACAATGATAACCCTAAATGTTTGGAGTTGAAAATGAGTTAAGTTGAATCGGGTAATAAGTTGTTTACTTGGCCTCATTTGGGAACAGACTATTTTAGTAACTTTTTTGTTTTTAGCTAAAATATGAGGTAAAAAAAACTTATATGTTTGAAAGAACTTTTTAATTTTTTACGAAAAAATGTGCAAATAAGTAAAGAGAAAATAGAATATTTGACTTTTTGATATAAGTTATAGGCAATAGGCATTTTGATTTTTTAATAACTTTTTGACTTTTAAGCTAAAACTATTATTCTCAAACAAAAAGTCTAAAATTTTCAAAATATATTTAAGCTTTGGTTGTTTATTTTTTGAACCGTTCTCAAATGAATTTTAATCAAATCGAACTCAAGTACCTTAATTTTTTATCGTGTATGAAAGTTATTGAAGTCAGTTTGAATCAAACTCAGAAAATTAACGATTTTAAAATGTATTCAAATTTAATTTATTCACATAATAATTAATCTTAAATAAGTTTTAACCACCCAAATACTATTCGAATTCGTATAGATTAATTCATTTTGCTACATTGTCGCTTCCAAAAAATGAACAAGAAAAAAAAAAAAAGAAGAGAAAATTTTAGAAAATTTTGAAAATAACACACTTCCAAGAAATTGAAATCGAAATTGAAATCAAAATCAAATTATAAGAATCTATATACAATTGCCTCTTTGTAATTGCGTATCATAAATTGAATACAAACAAATATAATTAAAAAGAGAAAAATAGTTGAAAGCACTAAAAGTGGTACTCTAATAGCACCACTAATTATGTGACAGTGGGCATGCCTTGATTTTTTTTTGACATTTCCAATACATTAGTGCTATTAGTGGTCTTTTTTTAGTGGTATGATGAATCATTGTTGTTAAAAAAAATATGTAAATTGTACTGACATCCCGGAGGTTTGAAGAAATATAACAACTCTTATAATTTTAATATAATTATATTATTTTTTTTTAATTTTAATTTGAATAATATTTAATTGTCTGGAATAAATTTTTAATTTTTTATGAAAAAATGTGCAAAAAATAGAGAGAAAAGAGACTTATTTATTTATTTTTTTGGTGTAGTTTGTTAGCTTTTTAATTTTTTTAATGATTTTTTGATTTTTAGACTAAAAAATGATGTTTCTAAACAAGACTTTAATTTATTTTTTCTTATTTATCATTGTATCTTTATATCATTTGCAATAACTTTGATTTATTTATCTTGAAGAGAGATTAACGCAATAAGTCTAGGCACACAAACACTTAACATAGAATATGATACATATATGGAATGGATCATATATTTACGTCCCACATGATGTGACTCATTCCATGGACTCACCCATATATGTGTTTCCAATAATGTGTGACATACATGTAGGATTTATTCTATATATGTGTGTCATTCTATATTTTAATATTTGTATTCTTAGAATGAACTCACTCTATATGTGTCCCACATGATATGAGGCCTATATGTAAGGGCTACTAAATATATGTGTCATGTTTTATATTTATGCTGTATTTAGTAGGAAGATTTGAGGAGGGAATTGAAAAGGGAAAGGGAAAAGTTAGGTGAAATGTGAATAAAATATACTTATATTTCACCTACTTTCACATTTTATTCACATTTTACCTACATTTTTCATTTCTTTTTCCAAATCTCTCCCCAAATCCCCCAACCAAACACAGCATTAGTGTTTGTGTTTTTAGTATTACTTAAGATTAGTGTAAATATTTTTTTTAAAATGAGTAAGGCCTCGTTTAGAAACAGGCTAATTTAGTAGCTTCTTGACTATTTGGTTAAAATATGAGCTAAAAAAATTAGTATGTTTGGGATAATTTTTTGACTTTTTACGAAAAAATGTGCAAAAAGTAGAGAGAAAAGAGAATTTTTGACTTTTTGGTATGAGTTGTTAACTTTTTGATTAATTTAGTAACTTTTTATATTTTATATTTACATTGTATTTGGTAGAAGGATTTGAGTGTTTGATTGGGGGATTGGAGGAGGGATTTGGAAGGGGAAAGGAAAAAGTTAGGTGAAATGTGAATAAAATATACCTATATTTCATCTAGTTTCACATACTTTTTCCTTTTCCCTTTCCCTTTCCAAATCTCTCCCTAAATCCCCCAACCAAACACTAAAACACAACATTAGTGTTTGTGTTTTTAGTATTACTTAAGATTAGTGTAAATATTTTTTTAAAATGAGTAAGGCCTCGTTTAGAAACAGGCTAATTTAGTAGCTTCTTGGTTATTTGGTTAAAATATGAGCTAAAAAAATTAGTATGTTTGGGATGACTTTTTGACTTTTTACGAAAAGATGTACAAAAAGTAGAGAGAAAAGAGAATCTTTGACTTTTTTGTATGAATTGTTAACTTTTTGATTAATTTAGTAACTTTTTATATTTTATATTTACGTTGTATTTGGTAGGAGGATTTGAGGAGGGAATTGGAAAGGGTTTAATAAGAAATTTAGAAAGAGAAAGAGAAAAGTTAGGAAAAATGTGAATAAAATATACTTACATTTCATCTAGTTTCACACACCTTTTCCCTTTCCCTTTCCAAATCCCTCCCAAAATCTCCCAACCAAACACAGTATTAGTGTTTGTGTTTTTAGTATTACTTAAGATTAGTGTAAATATTTTTTAAAAATGAGGAAGGCCTCGTTTAGAAACATGCTAATTTAGTAGCTTTTTGGCTATTTGGCTAAAATATGAGCTAAAAAAAATTAGTATGTTTGGGATGACTTTTTGACTTTTTACGAAAAGATGTGCAAAAAGTAGAGAGAAAAAAAAATCTTTGATTTTTTTGTATGAGTTGTTAACTTTTTGGTTAATTTAATAACTTTTTAACTTTTTGACTAAAAGGGGAGGTTCCCAAACGAGGCCTAAGTGTGAAGACAAAAGGGTTATTAAATGAAGGAGTAATTGATGGTGGATGAGCTTACACACACATATATCGAGTCACGTGCTTCGAGTTTGAATAGAGATAGACACGACGGAGGGAAAAAGCATAGCAACGAAGAACTTCGGCTCGAACCCGAGAGAGAGAAAGACAGAGAAGAGAGAGAGAGAGAGAAACGGTCCGGGCGTATTGAATTGAAGTAGCACAACGATGTCTTCGCTGGCTCACCTTACAATTGATTGTGGATTGGGTTGTCTGTATTGGAATGCAATTATGGTCTCGATTCCAAAGCACCCAGATTATAATAATCCCTACCTTCAGTCACTTTCCCTCACAAAACCATCTGTACACTGGTTAAAGAGCGAAACACACACAGAGACAGCGAGCGAGAGAGAGAGAGAGAGAGAGAGAGAGAGAAAGAGAGAGAGAGAGAGAGACTGCAATTAAAGGACAAGAGCTTTTTTTTGAATTCTTCTCGCTTCAATTCTATTCTTTCTGGTATAATCTCTTATACCCATTTGTTTTTCTTGATTTTGTGTGAAGCTTTCGGATTATTAGAGATTGTTTGGGGTGTCCTAAATAAGTGCACTTTTTGTCTTTTTGGACTAAAA